GAGTACTGCAGGTAGGAGAGACTGAATGAGCAAAAACAAGGACATTACAAAATAAATTAATAAAATAAAAAACCACCACCATATCAGTTCAGTGAGGCTAGCAGCCATAGCAGGAGGAAGGAGATGAGCTGAGAGACAGAAGTCCCATCGACTTAACTCAGTAATTAATGAATTCCTAACAAGTGTCTGGCTGCATGCGAGGTCCTAGAGATAATGCATTAAAGCAGATACTGTCCTGGCTCTCTTGAAGAATTCAATCTATTATACTGGGTTGTCGGGAAAGTCATGACATATTTCCTCTGTTTCTCTATGCAAAAAATGTGTTATGATTTTCCCAGCAACCCAATACCAAGCAAGGGTGTGTGACAGCTTCTATCCCACAGGTGGAGAATTTTTTCTTGTCAGTCAGGTACTAGGATGATGTAACAAGGCTCGAGGGAATCATACTTCACATGATGATGAAGACGCCCATCATCATGCGTATGCACCAAACAAGGGTTGTGATGAAGAATTTCAAGCTAGAAAATGACTTTGCTAAATTTGTGCATTCTGGTACAATTCTATGGCAGCCAAAGGTATGCTGGATTTTTATCAGATCAGATAGGAGGTCTCTGTGCTAGTCTACATGAGAGATTTAAAAAAAAAAAAAAAGAGAGACCTAACTAGCAATGATAGTTGACACAGACTAGAAAGGATATAATTAGAAAATAATTAGGTGGTCAAATTTGTTTTAAATATGTCTATGCTAGCTCCTAACAACTCTCCTTTCGTTACTAAGTGTTCACAAACCACCTGTGGCTTGCTCTAGAATTTTGCCGAAGTTTAACAGTCTACAGATTCTGGTTTCTCCTCTCTTCCCCTTTAGGATATTTGGCCTGTATGTCCCTTTCTAGTCCCTGCACCCTCCAGAGGTGGTGCACAACTACACCTGCAGGTTCTCTGTGGGCCCTCGATGTGGCTGTCAAAAGCCAACCTTTGGCTTTCAAGTACTCAACTTCCCCCTCCTTGGAGGAGAAGAGGGAACTGACACTGTAAATAGGATACAATGGAAGTCAAGATGGAAGGTCCTTCTCTCATCAATATCAGGAAGTCAGGAAATAGGCACACGGCCTGAAACATTCCCAATGGGGACGGTAAACCCGAGTGGTACAGGGAGACAGAATCCACCTGACGGCAGCCAAAAAGCCCTAACCAAATTGTTCTTGCTGCTAAGCCTCTAGAAGTTACTCCTATAGCTGTCCAACAAGTTGGTGAGGCTGCTTTGTCTTTCTAATAAATCATCTTTCTGTTATAAGGCAGCCAGATTTTGCTTCTCTTGCTTGTAACGAGAACTCTAAATAAAATTCCTGGATAGAAACTGTCTAGGTTCAGGATCTGACTTAATTAAAGTTCCTAGATATCCTGTTTCATTCTGATCATCTTTATTACTATTGCCAAGACGCAGTGGTCACTTACTGTATGCCAATTAATTTCTTGGCATTTTGCAGACATCATCTTATTGAATCCTCACTGAATTCCATAATCACTAAAGTTAATACAATCATTACCCCATTTTTACAGTTTAAGAAATGGAGGCTCAGAGGGACCAGCAGTTAGCGTAATGGCTATGTCGCTGGACTCCCATGTAGTCGACCGTGGTTCGAGTCCCGGACCCGGTGGCTTAAACTCCCTGAGAGTGTGTGCATGTGTGCCCACGATCCCGAGAGAATGGAGGAGAAGGGATTGCAGCGTAGCCATCCCCCCTGGGGGGGGTGATTTCTCACTTTCTGTCTCTCTGTTTCTCTGAATTTCTGGCGAGCACATGCACCCTACAGCAAAAACCTCTGGGGAAAAAAAAAAAAAGAAAGAAAGAAATGGAGGCTCAGAGAAATCAGGTATCTTTCCCAAAATGACTAGAAGTCATAGAACTCGGGGAGCCCAAGTCCAAAGCCAGCGTTCCTAACTACATCACACTCCTTTTAATATCTCTTTTATTGTGAAACGTAACACATACAGAAAGGTACATCAAGGTACACAGCTCAATAAGTTTTCACAAACCCCTAAGTAACCACCACCCAGGCCAAGAAACAAAATTCCTAGCACTCCCGAAACCCTACTTGTGACTTCCTAGTATTATTCCATCTTTTCCTCCTTAAGGTAACCATTATCCTAACTATGGGAATAATTTTCTTGCTTTTCTGTTACAGCTGTGTTGCCTAAATATGCATTCCTAAGCAGTGTTGCTTCATTCTGCCTGTTTTCTGAACTCTGTATGAAGGGAAATGATCCAAAATGCTTTCATTTGGGTCTGGCTTATTTCACTTAACATTATTTACAGCTGAAAGATTCGTCCACTTCATTGTACGTAGGTTTATTCATTTTCAAAGATGTATATACTATTTCATGAATATGCTACAATGTATCCACTTATTTTATTATATTTGTGTTATTTCTAATTTTTGGTTATTATGAATAATACTGCTATGAATATTCTTATCACTCTCTCTTGACTCTAGTGCATACATTATGTTGGATATAAACACAAAAATGGGTTGTTTTTTCCTCCACATGGGTTTGTAGCCAGGACACAGGTATTGTGAAAACCACCACTCAACCAAAGCCAAATGGGGAAAGAGAAGAATCATAGTAAAGTGCTATCACTGGACACGGAGATCAAGTCATCTCCACCAAAACTGGCCACGTGATCTACAAATTCGGTGGGACTGACAAAAGAACCGTCAAAAGCTTTGAAAAGGAGGCTGCTAGTTGAGAAAGGGCTCCTTCAAGTACGCCTGTGTCCTGGATAAGCAGAAAACTGAGTGTGAGCGTGGTGTCACCCCAGAAATCTCCCTGTGGACATTTGAGACCAAGTACTATGCACCTATCACAGGTGCCCCAGGACATAGAGACTTTATAAAAAATAGGACTACAAGCACTTCTCAGGCCAGATGTGCTGTCCCAGTTGGTGATACTAGTGAAATTGAAACCAGTATTTCCAAGAATAGGCAGACCCATGAGTACGCCTTTCTGACTTATACACTGAGTGTGAAAACAACGAATTAGTGATGCTGACAAAATGGATTCCACTGAGCCACCCTATAACCAGAAGAGAGATCAGGAAATCATTTTAAAAAGTTAACAAATGCATTAAGAAAATTTGCCAGAACTCTGACTGAGTAGCATCTGTACCAATTTCTGGTTAAAATGGTGACAATATACTAGAGCCAAGTACTAATATGCCCTAGTTCAAGGGATGCAAAGTCACCCTTGGTGATCTTGGTCAATAGCAATAGCAGTGGAACATTAGTGGGTTGCTTCCTACCACCAACTTGTCCAACTGACGAGCCCTTGCTCTGTCTCTCCACGATGCCTACAATATTGGTGTTATCAATAATGTCCATGTGGGCTCAGTGAAGACTGGTGTCCTCACACCAGGTATGGTGGTCACCTTTACTCCAACCAATGTTACAACTGATGTAAAGTCTGTTGAAACACACCATGAAGCTTTACGTGAAGTTCTTCTTAGGAGCAATGTGGGTTTCAAGGTCAAAAACATGTCTGTCAAAGATAGCCATCATGGCAACATTATTGATGACAATGAAAATGACCCACCAATGGATCCATGGAGCAGTTTCACGGCTCAGGTCTAGGCCAAATCAGTGCTGGCCTGATATGCCACTGTACTGGATTGTCACACGGCTCCCAATGCTTGCAAGTTTGCCGAACTGAAGGAGAAGACCGATCACCATTACCAGCAAGAAGCTGGAAGAGTGCTCTAAATTCTCAAAATCTAGTGATGCTGCCATCAGTGATATGGTTCCTGGCAAGCTCGTGTGTGATGAGTGCTTCTCTGACTATTCTCTTCTCTCATTTTGCTGTTAGGAGACAGACAGTGTCTGTAGGTATCATCAAAGCAGTGAACAGAAGTCTGCTCAGAAAACTCAGAGGCTCAAGGAATACTGTCCTTGATGCCTGTCACCCCAATCTTAATCAGTGGTGACAAAGTAAACAGAGGGACCAACAGTTGGTTATGGCTATGTCGCTGGACTCCCATGTAGTCGACCGCAGTTCGAGTACCGGACCTGGTGGCTTAAACTCACGCCAGGCACATGTGCGTGTGTGCCCAAGATCCCAAGAGGAGAATGGAGAAGGGATTGTGGCGTGGCCATCCTCCCTGAGGGGTGATTTCTCGCTTTCTGTCTCTCTGTTTCTCTCTGTCTTTCTGGTGAGCGCACGTGCCCTAAACAAACAAACAAACAAACAAAACAAATCTCTCTAAAGTAAACAGAAAACAGAACTACCAGTTGGTGTAATGGCTATGTCACTGGATTCTCATGTAGTAGACCATCGTTCAAATCCTGAACTCGGTGACTTAAACTCACACCGGACGCGTATACGTGAATGCCCATTCCCCCCTGGGGGGGTGATGTCTCGCTTTCTGTCTCCTGTCTGGCTCTGTCTTTCTGGTGAGCACACGCGCTCTACAGCAAAAATCTCTCCAAAAAAATAAATAAATAAAGTAAACAGAAAACACCAATGCCTAGCCTAAGAGCAATCTCAGAACTGTTTGAATTGGTCATTCGAGTTTAATAATAAAAGACTGGTTAATGATAGCAACGCACTGTAACATTTCAAAAGGAAAGGAGAATGTGTTGTGAACAAAAGGAAAGGAGAATGTGTTGTGAACCGTTCTAGTTTTTTGTTTGTTTGGGTTTTTTTTGAGAGATTTTTTGCTATAGGGCATATACACTTGCCAGGGAGACAAAGGTAGAAAGGAAGAAAGCACCCCCCAGTGGGGATGGCCATGCCACAATCCCTTCTCCTCCATTCTCCTCAAGGAATTTTGGACACACATGCACACATACCCAATGTGAGTTTCAACTCACTGATTCAGGACTTGAACCACAGTTGCTGACATAGGAATCCAACACCTTAACCATTATGCCACCTGCATTCTGTCCCCATTCTGGTGGGTTTTTTTGTGTGTTTGTTTGAGTAGCAGTTTTAAATCAGTGGTTTTTAAAATTAGTACTTTTTAATGGGAACAAGTTGATCAAAAACTTGTCACAGAATTTTGAGAACCTCTAAAAATTCAATGAGGAAAAACAAAAAAATTCTATAGAAATGGAATGGTTAAGTCATAGAAATGTTAATGTTAAACTCGAATAGAAAAATGCCAAACTATTTTCTAAAGGGGATACTAAATTACACTATCAGCATTTTAGGATCATTCTCTGACACTTGGGTCATGTTAATACTTTTTTAAAATTATTTTATTTAGGTTTACTTATTTATTTTAATTTGACCAGAGAGAGACAAAGTGAGAGAGAGAGGGAAAGTGAGAAAAGCAAGTTGCCAAGTCCCGGACTTGAACCACGGTCAGCCATGTGGGAGTCCAGTGTCCTTAACCACCACGCCACCTTCTGGCCCCTGATCATGATAATATTTTTTATTTGGGTTATTCTGGTGGCCCAAACTCATTTTGTTTCTATTTTATTGGTGACTATGTTCCTTAGCCAT